ATTGAATTTTAATTAATGTTTAATAATTCGGCTCAGCTTTCAGAGTCTATAAATGATAAGCAATCAGCCTTGTCAAAGATGGAGAAGCAACATTTTCACAGTTCCACAAATGTTTCTAATTGGCATAGGCCAGTTGCTAATGGGAGATAAGTTGCCTGGGGTGGGTGTGGGTGGGTATGCTGTGTGTATGCACACTCACACAAGCACACAAGCATGCATGCTTGTGGTGCGAATGACGTGTGGGTGGACCCAGCTTCACCCGACATGCCGTGATGCAAACTTGAGCTAAACGGGAAATTAAAAAGGGGCCAGGACTGGGCCATGACAGCAGTGGCCACACTGGGATGGGAGGAGGCGGATAGTTGGTTCCTTACCAGGAACCTGGCAGCAGGCCCACCCTCCCATCACAAACTGTGGACAGGGAGCTTAGAAAATATATGGACCAAATGAAAATGACCGCTCTCGAGTGAAACTAGCTGTGTGTCAGGCTTCTCGACGCCTCTCCTAATTTTCTCTCATAGAAATGAACATGGTAGAAGATGCTAGAAAGTTGACAGGAATCATTTTTCTTTCTCTCTTGCAGTCATGTCAGTAATTGCCCTGGGTTTTATAGCTGAAAAATATATGTTTATTTGCTCATTAATTTTCCTCCCTTCCCCTTGCCTTTTCTTGGCATTAGGCAGAATGTTATTTAAAACAAGACACAGTTCAGCTTCAAAAAGAAAAATCATTCTGCAAAAGACAGCTTAGACCCATTTACTGGTCATTTATCATCCCCAAAAGAGTGGAGTCGACATAGCTCTATTTGGTAGATTTGAATGATTCATAGTGCAGCTGCTACTCTTGCTGGCACCGGCATCCAGGAGCACAGTAGGCTCCTCAGGACCTTGAGGAGTGTCCCAAACTGTTTCGGAATGACATGGAGAATATTAAGCGTGGCATATGCAGAGCAGCTTGATAATCACTTATCTTCACTGCATTCTTTTAAATATGACACCGGCTGCTGCTCAGACAGAAGACTCAACCCAGAGGCCTGTGATTTTTCTGAGGGGTGATCAAAAGTCTTCATCTTCACACCTAAGTGTGTATTTCTTCCCTGGTGCTTTAAAAAGGCTTGGTTTTGTGCATCTTCCATTTCCTTCAAACAGTGGGCAAATAACAATGTGCCTATTATGGTGCCTGGCACACAGTTGAAGCCCAATAAACATTTGTTGAGTAAATAAATAGTTAAGCAGAATGTTATAAGCATTATTGTCTTGGCCTGAACAGTGCAAGAATAGACTTGAGGCAATCAAGTCATTTCCCTTAACAGTATAAGCTAATTATTTCAGAGATGAAGATCTGGTGCACAGTATTTCTTTGTCAGCTTCCATTTGCTCCTAATTAAAGGTAGAAACGTTGTTCGTAGCTTTGAAGAGATGGCACAATGACCCACTCCTACACAGATTTTTTATTTTCCTTGCCACATTTTCAAGGAAAATACATCAAGATAAAATTAACAGGCATTCCTCTTATTTACTTCTGTTTTCTTTTCTCTGTTGCTGTTTTCTAGAGGGCAGGCAGGGTGTGGGCAGGAAACTGTTTTGACTGTGTTTTTACAGCCCATCTGCCTACATGACTTCTGTAGTTGATTCTGCTAACCTGGGTTGACGAATAAAATCATCCTCCCACATAAATACCAGCTACAGTGATCCAAGATTAAAATACTGCATCCTTATCATAAACCTCAGAAAGTTTAATTCATTATTCCTTCCACAAATATGAATTCAGTGTATAATATGTATCAGGCACTATGCTAAAGCTGTGAATTTAACACTGAGCAAACTCCAACATGGTTCCCTTTCTAAGCTTACAATCTGAGATGGTTGATGAATATTAATTAAATAATCATACTAAAATTACCTAGCTACAAACTATTTTTTAAAAAGAAACACGGTTCTACTGGGACCATATAACAACAGGAACTGATTTACACTAAGAGACCAGGGAGAACTTTACTAAGGAGGAGACTGGAGCTGAGAGCCACACAAGGTCTGAAGAAAGGCAAAGAGGGTCCCAGGCAAGAAGAGGGTGAACCTCAAAGGCCCCCAGGTTGGGGGAAGCATGATGCGACCTCCAGAAACTGAAAGTTGGCTATTGTGGCTGGGTGGGAAGAGAAAGGGCTGATGAGAAGGCAGGCCCATGCCCTGCAGGGACTACACCTAGGCCATATCAAGGGCTTTGACCTTCGTCCCCTGAGCATTAGACAGACTGACAAGGGTTAAAGCCAACGGTTAGGAAGTAGAGGCAGGGACATGAATACATGGTCTTTATCATGTCTGTGTTTTGGAGTGGGGGAAATTTAAGTATCAATTCTTGACAAATACAGCAATGGAGATGAAGATGCTGAGCTCTGGATAATCCTTTCTTTGCTACAGATGAGCTTCCTGGAAATTCTTTACCATCCACTGTCCCTTCCACTAAATTCCTGAAAGAGTGCATCCAGGTCCCTAGCTCTGTGCTGAGTAACACCTGTATGGGGCCAGTGCTGGCCCATGCAGCAATATCATATCATCTCCTCCTGTCAGCTGTTTTAGCCTTCTCTCTCTTTCTCCTTTTCCTTTTGATGATGCGGAGGTGGCAAAACATAGTTCATTTCTGCTTTTGGTGAAGTATGAATGGCATGGCTTGTGGCACCTTCTCTCCTGGTTTAGAGAACAAGCTTTAAAGGTGGAGTGGCTCTGCCTCTTCTTTAGCCTTACAGGGTAGTTCTGAGGATTGGGTGGCTTGATACTTGTAAAACATATAGATCAGGTCAGGCACGGTGGCTCACGCCTGTAATCCCAGCATTTTGGGAGCCCGAGGCTGGGGGATCAGAAGGTCAGGAGTTCGAGATCAGCATGGCCCACATGGTGAAACCCTGTCTCTACTAAAAATACAAAAGTTAGCCTGGCGTGATGGCGGGTGCCTGTAATCCCAGCTACTTGGGAGGCTGAGGCAGGAGAATTGCTTAAACCTGGGAGGCAGAGGTTACAGTGAGCCGAGACCATTGCACTCCAGCCTGGGTGACAAGGCAAGACTCCGTCATAAAAAGAAAAAAAAAAAAACATACACAGCAAGGACTGGCACAGGCACATAGCAAGTACTTAGGTAATAATGTAGCATTAACTATTTTTGCTGATATAGAAAGCTGTCAAAGATGTATTGCTAAAGGGTTAAAAAGCAGGATACAAAACTAGGCATAAAACAGCTTGCACAAATGTATCCTAATAAATGCAAAGCAAATGTCTGAGGATATGTGGTGGTTACCTCTGCGGACTGGGACTGGGGTTTAGGGGAGAAGGTTAGGCAAGTGGCTTTTGCTTTTTCATCTAATATTTTTGTAATAATTGATTTTTTATTAGAAAACATCATAGTGATGAAATTACAAGGAATAGTTTAGAAAGTCCATCATGTCAGTTTTTTCAAAGGCATGATGATTTCAATATAACCTCTTTTTATATATTTTCATCCTTACATTTGCAGGTATCATCCAAAAACTTTTATTGGACATAAAGAAACATGTATCTAAAACCCAGCAATTCCCTAGATTTTCATTGCTTTGCTATGCCGTAGTCAAATAAAAGTTTTTAAAATCCCATGCTATTTAATTACACAGTTATAAAATTATTCTAGTTGTTCTTTCATCTCCCCATACACACACATAGAGTTGTCAGGAATGCGGTACACCCACCAGATATAAACAATGTGTTTGGCTTCATTGTTGCTGACTTCATTGCAAAGCATTGCTTAAATTTTTATAATAAACATTTTTACAAAAGCAATGCAATCATTGCTCAGAATTGGAGATTAGCAGCATTAGTTCACTTTTCTGTTTAGACGTAAACACAATACCCAGCATCTCATCTTTTCCAGAGATTTAGGATGTTGAACTTCTTCAGGATTATGAAGGTCAGTAGCTGTTGTGCAGTATCTGTTGCTCATGAAAGAGGCAAGAAGCGGATTATGTAGGTACTGAACCAGGAGGTCGAAAATATTTTAAATGATGATCTATTAACATACAGTCTATCATCCTTTGCTCTAGTTTTTTATTGTTTTTTTTTTCTTAGCAGGTAGGCTCTTTAAGGATTTTGATTAATCAGATTGATATTTTTCAACAGTGTATGTAACTGGTTGAGAATCATTAATATTGTAGAACACTAGAGCATGGTAGGTTTGATCATCATTTAAATACAACTCTTCCCTTGCCCAGCAATTATGCACCACTATCATCAATCAGATAAAAACGCAAATCTGGAGAGAACTTTGAGTACCCTGGTAAATACTTCATGAAGCCAATGGGAGCTTGCCAAATAGATGATCATCTCTGCATAAGATATATTACCAACGAGTAACTGCATTATACAGTCCTTTGCACATTGTGCCCCTCGGGATATGATGATAATTGATTGTGTCACAGAAGAAACAATTTTGAAGAAACTGGGACTAAGTTGATTACCAACTGAACCTTTAGATCAGCGTTAGCAAATGATGGCCCAAGGGCCAAATCTGGCCCGCTGCCTAATTTTCTCCAGCGTATGAGCTAAGAATGGTTTTTTATATTTTAAGTGACTGGGTAAAATAATCAAAAGTAGAATAACATTTCGTGACATGTAAAAATTATATGAAATTCACATTTCCTGTCCCTGAAGTTGTATCAAAACCTAGCAGATTCATTCATTTAAACATTATCTGCAGCGGCTTTGCACCGCAATCTCAGAGTTGACTAGTTGTGACAGAGAAGCAGTTGTGACAGAAAATATTGACTATCTGACTCTTTGTAGAAAAAGTTTGCTGACCTCTCCTTTAGACTCAGGTGCAAGTTATTTATGTGCATGTCTGCTTATGAACGGATAATGCTTTTGTGTTAGAAATGTATCTGGCCTGCTGATGTGGCTGCTGAAGAAGGTGCAATGCTCCATATTCTTCTATTTTCCTCATTCCCTTCTCAAAGTCAAAAGCAAGTTATTAAGTGAGAAAAATTAGAGTATTGGAAGGGGCCATAGGAAAGATCTTGGTCACAGAAAAGCCCTACACATTACCTCTGAAGGCTGTAGATGAGTAATTCTAATTTTAAGCCCTAAAATCAGATTAGTTCTCTACATTTTAAAATTCGAAATTATTTCTTCTCTATGTCTGAGAAATCTTTTGATAGGCAAAAACATTCATTCTTGTGACTCTTACAAAATACAGTATGGCGCTGTTTGGTGTATGCTTGCAGTCAGTTGTAGACACAGTATGATGCATGATTGGATATTGCGAAATACCTTTTAGTAGAATGTCCAGTTCTTGATAGGATAGCCTGCCCATTGGCTGTGACAGTTGAATTAGGCCACATGGCTGATGCTGACCCTCCTACTGACCGCAATACCTAAGAAAATATGAAATTAATACAGAAGCTCTCTTGTACTGGTAGCAAGATAGTTACTTGTAGGAAATGTTAACAATAGTATCATAAAATATAGAATTGAAAATGTGAGTCATTTTGCTTTAAAATCTCTATCATGTACATGACTGACTTCAGTTGTCCCCTCCCCTCCCTTTTGTTCTGTTTCAGAGGTTGAAGGCTGCATTGACTCACCACCCTGCTGCCATGTCAAATGGGAATATGAACACCATGGGACACATGATGGACATGATGGGCTCCCGGCAGGACCAGACGCCACACCATCACATGCACTCACACCCGCATCAGCACCAGACACTGCCACCCCACCACCCTTACCCACACCAGCACCAGCACCCAGCGCACCATCCTCACCCTCAACCCCATCACCAGCAGAACCATCCACATCACCACTCCCATTCCCACCTTCATGCACACCCAACACATCACCAGACCTCGCCACATCCGCCCCTGCACACCAGTAACCAAGCACAGGTAGACCTTTTCCTTGGTCTCTTTCCTCCTCTTATTCTCCTTCTTAACAGGGCAAGCTCTAATGCTGGGGTCATTTGCAGCAATCTTGTATGACAAGCCCAGGTGTTCTATCTCACATTCTAGGGAGCTCTGTTTTTCTCCTAAGTGGCCACCCTTACCCATAAGACCCTACCAGATAATAATTTCTATAAATAATATATAAATAGTATCAGGTCTAGTTTCTAAGAGCCAACATAAACTTTAAATTCTCCAAAATCTATTTTTGCAGTGTGTTAGAAAGGTAGCCCCCCAAAACATAACATTAATCAATGGATTAGGAAGAATTTAAGCTTATGAAGAAAGATGTGACTTAAGTTAATTCTAATCCTGGTTCTCACTGCTATGTTTTTTTTTTTTTTTTTTTTTTTTTTTTGAGACGGATTTTCTTTTTTTTTTCCCAGTTTGGTTTGCTATGTTTTTTTTTTTTTTTTTTTTTTTTTTTTTTTTTTTTTTTTTTTTTTTTGAGTCGGAGTTTCGCTCTTGTGACCCAGGCTGGAGTGCAATGGCGCGATCTCGGCTCACCGCAACCTCCGCCTCCTGGGTTCAGGCAATTCTCCTGCCTCAGCCTCCTGAGTAGCTGGGATTACAGGCACGCGCCACCATGCCCAGCTAATTTTTTGTATTTTTAGTAGAGACGGGGTTTCACCATGTTGACCAGGATGGTCTCGATCTCTTGACCTCGTGATCCACCCGCCTCGGCCTCCCAAAGTGCTGGGATTACAGGCTTGAGCCACCGTGCCCGGCCACTGCTATGTTTTAAAACATCATAGAGACTCAATTTTGTCACCTGTAAAAATGGAAGTTAAATACAACGGGCAATCTTCTGAGTAACAATGAATGTTAAAAATCTAAAGACTAACAATTCAAGGGAGACAAAGAAGCTCCCTCACGGATGCTAGGGCATAAGGTGCTGTGTAAATGGTGAAGAGAGGTGACTCATCCCCCTGAATGAGAAATGCGTTGGAGGGAACAGAAAGAGAGCCAAGTTCTGTAGATGATGAGACCAAGAGAAAGGCCAAATCCCAGGGGGGGAGAGTCACCAGGAGCAGCTGCAAAAAAAGCCAGAATTTAGACAAAACTGAAAGCGGGTTGGGGGACCAGGCAGACATTATGTCACCCAGGGCCAAGAAGAGAGGCGAGTCCTGTACGGGAGTGAGTTTTAGTAAGCCGAAGAAGGGCATGTCCGGGAGCATGGCTGGACCTAGACGCTTTGGATCCTCAAGCAGAATGACCTTCATCCATACCCTCCACCCAGTCCACACTGCCAGCTTCCAACCAGCTGGATCAGAATGGTGTCGGAAGCTTGAGACCGCCAAATAACACTTATTCACCGTCTCCTTTGCTGTCTGCCTCTGGAGACAAGACCTTACACTAGGCAGCTTTTTGAGCTCTTGAGCCCGACTCCCTTAACATCCACCAAACCTGGACAGCCATCCACAGAATGGGTCAGCCACAAGCAACTCTCTAAGCTGTGCATTAGATAAACTGTTTTTTGCAAGGTTCTCAGAGGTATTCTACAGTGTGAATAAGAGTTGAGCATTAGAATGAGATAAGCTTAATTTTCCCCCCACCTTCCTTGCTGTGTGATTGTGAACATAAATGATTAACCTCTCTAACCCTCAGTTTTCCCATCTGTAAAATAGGGGTAAGGTAATAGTAGACTAAACTCCTAGGCCCTTATGAGTATTAAATAAGAGAAGCTCTGTAAAGCCTTTTGCACAATGTTTAAAATATGTTATTCCAAACCATAATAATAGAAGTTTAGCAAATTGTATAGCAATAAAGTGGTATCAAGAGAACTTTCTTAGTCACATTTTTAGTCAAATGCCATGTATTTAGAAGAGAAAAAAAAAAACACTACAAAGTCAATGATGGGTAAATTGATTCACATGTGTTCTTAGTTTATAAGAAAAAGAGAACATTAAGGTTTGGTTGCCTTTGTGGGCAAGTTATATAACAATTCTTTGAATATAAAAGCCATTCACTAGCTAATTACAAATTAGCCAATTGCCCCCTGTTTCAAGTCAGTAAATGGCCAATTGGAGATGCAATTAGTTAATTGCCATTATAATTAGCTTCATGAACAGTTGCTTTTTAAAATCATACACAAAAAACAAAGAGCTCAGGTTGGTCTTGCTCAAATTTGAACCAAATAATTTAGGCAGTATCCTAAAATACCACTCTTAACACCACTTTGCTAAATTGTGTGATTATCTGAAAGTAGGAACAGAATCCTTTGAACTCTGAGATTCTCAGATGATTTGGAATAAATTCTGCCTTTTTGAAATTATAATTCATTACTTTTGATCAAAATTTTCAGAGCATCTATGCCAAGAGAATTCTGCTTTAAAAATAAAATTCCAAGCAACAATAATTACCTGGCACACAAATTCTGGTTTTAGGGTTGTATTTGTAAGTTCTTCTGGCTTCTTGTGCTCCTCCCTCCACGTAAGGATGTGAGTGCGGAGTGCTAGTCTCATGACCACCAGGAATTTCTCTTAACCAACCCTGGACCTGCATTACACCTGAAACCACATCACGTATGCCTTTGAGTGAAGGCACATGAAAAGTGTCATAAGTCACAGGTGGATTTAACTTAGGGTAGGAGGATACAGAATTGAAAGATAAGTGCTTGCAATGGAGATTAAAAAACAAATTTTTCCTACTTGACAGTTTTGTCTAGGGCTGGCAATAAGAGATCATAATTCACAAAAGGAAACAGTTAAGGCAAAAATATCCGAGCAGTTTAGCACATTCCCTCTTAATGCTTTTCTTTGCAGTAGTTAGCTCTGGAATTAGCATCCAAAATGACAAGTGCCAAGTCTTTGCCAATAACAAGGGTGATGTCTTCACTAACAATTCTGATGAGTAAGACCTTAGACTGTTAATTTATTATGTTATTCCTCTATAATCGAGAGGAAAAGAGTCACCAACAAACAGATCTAGAAAATGTCTTTGCTTTATATAAAATTACCAAGATGCAGTTCAACCTCAACCCTGGGCCTGATTCCTTTACAGTTAGTCATAGAAGGTTTGATAGAGTTTTGGATTAAAATCTATCACTATCAGTCAGCTGATGTCAACCAGTCGCCATTATTAGTGCAATTACAGTCATTCTGATCGATTTCAATCACAGTGCTAGAATGTGATAGAAAAGATTGTTGGGCTTCATTTTTAAACTTTTTGCCTGTTATTTCTGCAGGTTAAATGCCTCTTGTAAAACGGCTTTATAGGTATTACAGTCATAAACCTGAGTGACTGAGAAATGCGAGAGGAAAAAAAAAACCCACCTTTTATTGAGAATGAAGAAGGAGGAAGGATTGAAGTGCATGAGGAAAAGCATTAGGTGTCCAGACATATAAAGAGTCAGTCGTAGAAATTTGACAAGGTGCTGTGTGTCTGCCTCATGAATAGAAACAAAGCTCTATGTGTGGGGGTCTCCAAAGCCTTAGATGTTGCTGAGTCTCATACAGACCTTGCAATGAATCTATAAGCATAGTAAAACTTTTTAATAAAGTGCTTTGCCACTCTTAGGATTTCCTTCTAATGTAAGTGTACGGTAATACACAAGCAGCTCTCACTATCTCACACACAGGGTGTGGTAGGGCTCAGTGCTGCTTCAGGCATCAATGTAATGCTTTCAAAGGCCCTGCTTCCCAAACAAACACCTAGAAAGCTCTCCTGGATCTCTTTCACCCTGGTGAGCACGCTGAGGGGCAGACAGGCCCAGCTGGAGTGTGCAGGTCCAGCCAGTCCTCTGCATTAAGAAGTCTGAAATAGTCCAAATAGGATTTCATTTGCTTTCCTGGTTTCATGGGCTTCTTTTGATAGGAGTCACCATGGCAACGATGTCCCAGAGGTGTGTTCTAGGAACACAATTTTAACACTATTAGCATGAAAGGAGCCCACGACATGCTCAGAAGTTTTCTGCAGATGACAGATGACTCATCCATATTGTGATAATAACCCTGACCTTCCTGTTTTCACTCTGTAGCCATACATTGGCTATTTTAAAGTTTCATTTGTTTTGGTTTTAGTTTTTTAGAGACAAGGTCTTGCTCTGTTACCCAGGCTAGAGTGCAGTGGCATGATCATAGCTCACAGCAACCTCAGTCTCCTGGGCTCAAGCAAGCCTCCCATCTGAGCCTCCTGAGTAGCTAGGACCATAGGCATGCACCACCATGGCTGGTTAATTTTTCCATTTTTTCTAGAGCCAGGGTCTCGCTATGTTGCCCAGGCTGGTCTCAAACTCCTAGCCCCAAGTGATCCTCCCACCACGCCTGGCCCTTACTTTGAAGTTTTTAAACACACCTTCAGTAAACCACTTTTAATAGCTGAAGGAGAAAAACAAATGCCTCCTCTACCATGATTTGGCCCAATGCCTGTGAGGGAAAAATCTATCTGACTACATTTTTTCAGCAGTCATTCCTGTATCTTGCCAACACATCATAGAATATAGGTCAGTGATGCTTTTTCTTTTCTTTCATGAGTGTGATTTCATCGTTTATTTCATAGGAGGCAAGTCTGATATGCTGACTAAAGCACCAGGCTTTCTGTGCTTTGGATTTTAACATCAGCTTGGGTTCCCTCCCTTACACAACGCGTCCTTCCCTGTCCCCAACACCTCCTCCCTCTCTGTCCCAGCAGGTTTCACCAGCAACACAACAGATGCAGCCAACCCAGACAATACAGCCGCCCCAGCCCACAGGGGGGCGCCGGCGAAGGGTGGTGGACGAGGATCCAGATGAGAGGCGACGGAAATTTCTGGAACGGAACCGGGCAGCTGCCACCCGCTGCAGACAGAAGAGGAAGGTCTGGGTGATGTCATTGGAAAAGAAAGCAGAAGAACTCACCCAGACAAACATGCAGCTTCAGGTGCAGCCCACGTTGTCTTTCCCCGGGACTCAAAGGCCCTCTGCTCCGCCAGCATTTCCTGCCTCACAGGCACTTGTTGACATAAGCAGTGATACCACACACTTAGTCCACAGGGGAGCTGCAGCCCGCTCCTAGAGCTTTATGAATTCTGGGACACTCCACACGACAACATTAACCGTTCCGTTTTCAATCAGTTTGCCCACAAAGCTCTGAGAAGGAGAGACCACCCAACTAAGTGGTAGGGCTGGGGGCACAGGCTTTAATGGGACAGAGATCCAAACCCTGGTTCAGCAAGTACTTGCGAGGTTTAACTTCTGGTTCTCAGTTTCCTCCTCTACAGCATGGGAACAATAACTTTACAGAGTCATTAGCTTAGGAGGAATAAACAAGTGAATGTCTCCAAAGCAGTTGCACAGTGCATGAGGCAAAATAAACCTTCAAACTAAAAAGGAATTATTATATTCACTAGGTTGATGGGGCTGCCTTGGCTTATACTTGGTTATCTCTATTTTTGTTTCATAGAAGAGAGAAAGGTTTATGGTCATTATCCAACTCTGAAAGAAAACGCATGTTTTCATCTCATTTTCCAACTCACCAAGATTTGAATCTTGCATGATTTTTGCTTTTTATGAATGGCTTAACTGGGGACATATTATAATGAGGCCCAGAAGTGTCTGGGAGTGTCTAAGAGAAAAGGAAGAAACTCGAGTACCCAGGGCTTCTCCAACAGACTTTATAGTTTATAATGATGCCATTCAGGGCATCTGTCCTAATGTTAAAAAGATGTACACTATTTATCAGCAGGAAAAAAAGGCAAGTAAATACACATGTATGTGACCCACAGTCCAGGGATAACGTTAAGAGTTGTGGATTATACTCCAGTGCTTCTAGAAGCTGAGAGAATGGCTAAAGAGAGAGGGGCAGGGAGGAACCTACCCCACATAGGGAGACTCTGCACCTTAAGAGTTCATGGGAGCTAGGCACAGTGGCCCACACCTGTAGTCCCAGCACGTTGGAAGGCTGATCACTTTGGGAGGTGAGTGGATCACGTGAGGTCAGGAGTTCGAGACGAGCCTGGCCAACGTGTGGAAACTCCATCTGTACCAAAAATACACACACAAAAAAAAGCTGGGTGTGGTGATGCTCACCTGTAGTCCCAGCTACTTAGTAGGCTGAGGCAAGAGGATTGCTTGATTGCAGGATGAGAGGCTGCAGTGAGCCAAGATCACACCACTGCACTCCAGCCTATGCAACAGAGACTCTGTTTCAAAAAAAAGAGTGCATGGCTAGGCATTGGTAGGTCACTTTCTTCTTCTTCCCATACCTAGTTCTCTGTGCATCCTTAGAAATGAACAATTAGGGTGCCAAACCCCAAAGCCTTTGCATATTCATTTCCATTAAATGGAAATGGCTTGACGCTTCCAGTGTACAAATTGAAAGTCCATAAGGAAAATATATATGAGGACCTGAATTTCATAATTTATGGATGTTCACTTTTTTCCCCTAAATGGGTCATTCTTTTTGTAACAGACATGATGAACAAGAAACTGGGAAACATATAGCAGATATGAAGAAAATAAGCTAATTATCCCCCCACTAACTTGTGTACTGCGGGAAGATTGGGACTGTCTCTTACTACTCCCTCCCCCCACTATTATCTGCTGTTTATAGTGTAGTGTCTACACTTAGTAACTTATTTGTTGAATAAATGAGTGGGTTACCCTGTTTATAGTATAGTGTCTGCACTCGGTAACCATTTGTTAAATAAATGAATGAATTCCTCATTGCTGGAGTGTCTCAGAGTTGGCTGCCTGACCACTTGGCAAGGACGTAATTGCAGAGAGTCAAGCTGGACCAGAGAAATGGCTGGACTCAAACACCTTTAAAGCCACTTGTAGAATCTGACAGGCTCAGTAGTATCTGAGAAGCTTTTAGAAACGATGCGGTTAAGCACTTTTCTCTTCTGAGACGGGGCCTCACTCTATTGCCCAGGCTGGAGTGCAGTGGTACAATCATGGCTCACTGCAGCCTTGACCTCCGGCACTCAACTGTTCCTCCCAACTCAGCCTCCCGAGGTGCACAGTACCATGCCTGGCTAATATATATATTTTTTTTCTAGAGACAAGATCTTATTACATTGCCCAGGCTGGCCTCAAACTCACAGGCTGAAGCAATCCTCCCACCTCGGCCTCCCAAAGTGTTGGGATTATAGGCATGAGCCACTATGCCCAGCCAAGCATTTTTAATATTAATAATCATATTTTAATTTTGATGTGTATTATAAAATGTAATTTGAAGATCAAATCTGCAGTTTTAAGATATTAGTAAGAAGGCTAAATTATTAAAAATTGAGTTAATTTGCACAAACATGTTAAGTAAATAAGTTATTGTATATGTGAACCTAGTAAATATTACAGCAGTGGTTCTGTAATAACTGAAGGGGGGAACCCCAGGAAATGGCCACCATTTCTGAGGTCTGCAGAAGGATGGTGCAAACATGTAGGTTTTCTTAATTTTGGCCCTGTTGACTTCTGGGCTGGATCATTCTTTGTTGTGCCCTGTGCATTGCAGGCAATGTAGCAGCGCCCTTGGCCTTTACCCACTCTGTATCAGGAGCACACCTTCCAACTAGGACAACCAAAGAGTCTCCAGACATTGCCAGATGTTGCCTGGTGGTGGCTGGGAAGGGAGGTTGGGTGGTAAAATCAGCCTTAGTTGGGAGCCACTGCTTAGATGAAGGAGCCAAAAGTAGCCGGCTGGCACTTAGCAGATGCCAAGTCTTTAAATCCGTTTTAACTAAAATGAGTCCTTGCAGAATTCCTTCAGGGTATAGACTATGATCCTAATACATGAAAACATAGAGGAGTCATAGCAGAGAGCCAGGAAAGTAAAGATGCCCATTGACTTTGAGGCCAGAGGTGTTCGTGACTTGGCCTTCGCATATGTATGAGTATTTTTACAAAACACACAAGGTAAATTTACCCTTTGCTAGACCCTAATGCACTGATTTTTCTCACATTTCTTTAGAGCCAAATGGCTAAGGAAAAAAGAAACTAGAACTCTAGTTCCCAAAACCAGAAAAAAAAAATCTTACTGAGTTCATGTAACAGGCACTAATATCTTTTGGTGGTTAAAACGGTACCCAAAAAAGGGACAGTCTCTGAACAGACTAAATTGTTGATATTTTCCAACCACTGCTTTGCCTTGGAGGGACAGAAGCCACAACCACCCAGTGTTCTCTGTGAAACTGAGTGTCCTGCATCAGGCCCTGGGATGCTGGAGAGGATGCTGCAGATTCCGCTACCTTTGAATGACCCTTTCCCTCTCACTGGACCTTTGTCAAAAGAAAAAGGTGTCTCTCTTGAGGCTGGACCAGTGAGCCAAATTTTAAGTAAACAGAAATGGAAGGTGCTAAGCAAACAAACTCCAGCCAAACGGAATATCCAAGGTCTGGATGGCCAGCTGCCACTTTTGAGTTGTTTTCCAGCACAGAACCCTCTAGTTAGGCTGCAGCATTTCAGATTGGAAAAATCAGACCTAAGAAAACAAAATCAAACTCCCAGACTTCATTTCCTAGTCTCACAACACATCTCTGGCCAGGTCAACAAAGGTGTAGGAATTGGGGAAAATATTAGAAACTACCTAATCGGACACTTGATGGAGAGAGAAACTGTGATTAGGGAAATGAGGGGTCTTCCCTAATGCCACACAATGAGTAGGTGGCAGAATGAGGACTCTGGGAAGTCTCCTGCTGACCTAATCCACTGCTTTGTGATCTTTTATTTTAGAAACTTCGTAAACCAAAGGAATCCATGTTCTTTTTTTCTGATACTAAGTGACTAAGATCAGCTCTAAATTCATCAGCCGCTGATGTACGCTGATGTACTCAGTAGAACGTTTGTGTTCAGTAGAGGATATGGAAATCATCTGGTCACCCATGGAAATAATTGCTTTTCTTTTTTAGTGCAAAGACACATGGTCTAAGTTGCTGCTGAAATTCTGGACACATGAGCCCAGGTCTGGGACTTGGCAAGAGAATAGGCCAGATGGGAACTGTTGCTTGACAAATTGAAAGTCCTTTGTTTCAGAGTGAACCAAACCTGGTCTCAGCTAATCTACCAAAAAAAAAAAAAAAAAATGAGGGGAGGGTATATTGTAGGGCCCATTTTGATAATTATTTTTTTGGCACAAACTACTGTTTACACCAAAAAGCACTGCAGATTTATCATATAAATAATGACATCCCCAAAGCTGAACACTGCAAATGTAGCTATTAGGGATTTGTTGGAGTGCTTGCTTAGAGTATGTTATTGTAGTATTGAATATCTCTATGGAGTGCTGCTTCATCCCAAGGCAAACTGTGGGTTTACAAATAGATCAATCCAACTGGCTGTACCCTCTTACAGTCACTAAGCAGCTCACTGCTTTAGAGGGGCAAACTCAAGTGGGTTTAGAAAAATGAAAAACTGAAGAGGTGGTTTCTACCAGACAATCGATACCTATTATTAATACCTTGTTTTTACAAAGCACTTTTATATTAAAACCTAAAACTCTTCTTATAACCTACATGGGGGAATAAAAAATGATTTTCCTCAATTTATAAAGCAAGGTAATTCAGAGTAAGAAAATGCCTCCAGAAGGCCTGGCTTTTATTTTCCTACTAGACTTGCAGGCCACATTTGATTTCTTTTATGCATTTTGAAACATTCACTATCTGGTTGTTCTCTTCCAAAATGAATTCAAGGTGATTCCACTTATGTTCCCTTGAAAACGGTTTTTACTTAAAATACAGTCTAGTATTTGAGCATTTCCTACGCTAGTCAGTCTTTCACTATGGAATCTTTAAGATGATCATCCACGTGCACAGCACACAATTCATTCTTCTTTGTCCGGGATAGCAATTCTTGACCTTTCTTAAGCCAAAGGCCCCTTATGAAATATGATGAAGTCTCCATAGATGCTCTCTCAGCAATATGGACACATAAATGGACACACAAAATTTTTCTCTAAGTGAAACCATAAATATTGCTTTGGAATCTGCCCTACTATAATTTGGAAGCATAAGAGGTGCTAGAACTGGCTCCCTTATGAAATGTCAGACCTGAATTATAAGCATGT